AGGCGAACCTGATAAAACGCCCCCCTGGTCACGGCCGACAGATGGTCATCCAAAGTCAGCCGTGAATCCAGGAGGACTCCCAAGTTGCGCGCCCTCTCTGAGGGGGCCAAAGATTCGCCCCCTATAGTCAGCGATGGCGTCAGCTGACCATACCGAGACGCCGGCAACCACAGCCACTCGGTCTTGGAAGGGTTGAGCCCGAGTCTGTTCCTCCCCATCCAGACATTTATAAACATTTTAGATATCAAAAGGGTTTTACGGCTCCCAGTGTTTTGTTTTCGGTGGGAAACGGGTCCAAGTGGCTCTTTCAGTGTTTTGGGTTGCTTACTCTTGGTCTAGCCCAGGGGTAGGCAACTTTGGCTCTTTTATGACTCGCGGACTTCAACTCCCAGAATTCCTGAGGCAGCCATGCTGAGGAGAAATGGAGAGGTTTCCATGCTGGGCCATGCTGGCTCAGGAATTCTGGGAGTTGAAGTCCACGAGTCATAAAAGAGCCAAGGTTGACTACCCCTGGTCTAGACTTACAATTGAGCGCAAAATTTCTGTTACTAAGCAAGACTGTTATTAAGTCAGTTTTCCCCATTTTACAACCTTTCTTGCCACAGTTTCTAAGTGAATCACTGCAGTTGTTAATAACATGGTTGTTAAGTGAATCTGGCTTCCCCATTGACTTTGCTTCTGAGAAGGTCCCAAAAGGGGATCACAGAACCCCAGGAAATTGCAACTCTCATAAATACACACCAGTTGCCAAGCTTCTGAATCTTGACCATATGACATGGGGATGCTGCAATGGTCATTAGTGTGAAAAATGGTCATTTTTTCAGTGCCATTGCAACTTCAAACGGTCACTAAATGAATGGTTGTAAATTGAGAACTACCTGTATTATTATTGTTAAGTCAGGGACAGCTAGGAAAATTTTGAGCTCCTTATCCCTCATTCTCTTAAATGAACCCTCCAGAAAACTATCCAGGCTGTGTTGTGATTCCTCGCCAGCCAGTGGACCCGGCAGCTGAGTCTGAGGAATCAGAGGAGGAGGGGCCTGGAGTGACATCAGTCAGAGGAAGGCTCTGAGGAGCTCCAAGACTTACAGTCTGACAAGAAGCCCGGCCCCTCTACTCGCGCTCAGGCCGAGACAGAGTTGTGCTGGGAGCCTGAGTTGGACAGTGATGAAGAACAGCTGGGAGTTAACCAGGATGCACGTAAACGCCGCAAAAGAGAGAAGGACAGAGGAATGCAATGGGGCGGCTCCAAAGGCAAAGGAGAAGGCATTAGGAAGCCACGCCTTGGCTGAATTATAAAAGGGAAGGTGTGAGAGGTGCTGGTTGCGAAGGCAGCCGTTCGTGTTGAGGATCGAGTTTCTGTGGACTGTGCTTGTTTGCCTTGGACATTGACTCAGGTATGTGAGAATAAAAGGGGTTGGTTTTTTCTTGCCTGTTTCTTGGAAGAGGGGTTTCTCCTTGCAAGCATAACCAGGACTCACATAGGCTGGGACAGAACAGGCTAGGAAAATATGGCAGTCGCCATCCATCCAGATTGGAAAGTAACTTGTGGCACAATGCCTTAAGATTCTTGAGTCTCGTCCATTGTGAGCAAAGGCTGTGGTCACATGATCAAAAATTCACATGCCTGGCAACTGGCATGTACTTATGACGGTTTCAGTGTCCCAGGGTCATGTGATCACCTTTTGCGACCTTCTGACAAGCAAAATCAGTGGGGGAAGCCAGATTCATTTCACAACTGTGTTACTAACTTAACAACTGCAGTGATTCACTTACCTGTGGCAAGAAAGGTTGTAAAATCAGGCAAACCTCACTTAACAACCGTCTTGCTTAGCAACAGAAATTCTGGGCTCAATTATGGTCCTAAGTCGAGGACCACCTGTAGTAATAACAAAACAAGAGGCACTTACAGTCGCCTGTGACCACGTGCCCGCCGGGAAGAGTCTTTTTTTCAGAAGTCTGAAAGACGTAACGACAGAACGAGTTCGCTGGTTCCACAAATTCAGGCTCCAGCTCACTATCCTCCATCTGTTCCAGGTGAGGTAAATTCTTCCTCTTAGTAGGGCATTCGAAGATGAAGCACTTCCGTTTGGGGAAGAATAATCGGATGCATTTGTGTGGCAGATTGAGTATCTCATTCTCTTTAGTGTTATCTGGAAAGCAACATGTCCATCTTGAAGGTGACTCTGAACTGCATCTGCTAGTCGTGGACATTTCATTGGGGAAGGCGATACTAGAACTCACAGTCTCCTGGTGATTGGCCCAAAGTTACCCAACTAATTTTCATGGCTAAGGTGGGACTAGAATTCACCGTCTCCTGGTGACAGGCCCAAAGTCACCTAGTTGACTTTTATGGTTAAGGTGGGACTAGAACTCACAGTCTCCTGGTTTCTAGAATAGTAACATCACAGAGAGAGATGAAAGAGGAAAACTAGTGACTCTTTTCACTGGTTTCATCTCTTGAGGATTATTCTGTGTCTCCCTGAAGAAGGAAAATTTAGGGCCGATGGCTCCTATTCCTTATCCAAATGATCACATAGATCTTCATACTGCATTTGTCATCAGTTACCTTTTTTTAATTCCAGAGCGTGTTCGAGATATTGGTCCTCCGTGATGGGTTGCCCATCCCATTCCAGCTGTACTGTGAAATCTCGTAGTGTCCAGACAAAGGTCGGGAAGAAGCGAACAAATTCAGAAGCGTCTTCACAAGTGGAGGAAGTGTTTGCCTTGATACGTTTAGACAGCTCGGTCACAAAACTGTTGGCCCAGTTTAGGAATTAAGCAATGTACATGTGCAGTGAACAAAGATGGTCTTGAAGGCTACAGAGAAGAGTTGCTACCAGGGCAATTGTCAAATAAATGAAACGACGTTATAGCCTCAGAATAAAGTGAAATTATCCCTGTTGAAGAGCAACGTGGTTCTAGTAACAGACTTCACCTATTCATTGCCTCAACCAGTTTTCTATGTCTGCACAATACCCCAAAATGTAAGCCAGTCAACATTCACTAATCAAGTTTAGCATATGGGAAAACACAGCGGATGAGTTTGGAAATGATATAGGCAAGGATTTTCCTGAAGTCTACCTCACTCCAAATCTGACTGCATAGAACAAGGGTGGGAAACTATGACTCTTTTAAGACTTGTGGACTTCAACTCGCAGAATTCCTGAGCCAGCCATGCTGAGGAGAAAGGGAGAGGAATTGTGGGAATTGAAGTCCACAAGTCATAAAGGACCCATAGTTTGCCCACCTCTGGCATAGCACAACAGAGCTAGTCTTGAGAAGGATACTGAAGCTTGTCCAAAGCAGTCTGATCAATGATCCCCATACTGTTGTAGACCAGGGTGCTGCTCAGCAACACAGCCAAAGCGAAGATCCAGGAATCGTTTTGAGAACTGTCCTAAAAAAAGATAAGAATAGGTTATGATCCGTTTCTGACTTCTGCTGAGTTTATCTATCGTCTATTAGTACGTAGCTTCTTAGGAAAATACGATACCATTCATTCACCAGTCCAGAATTCATTCACTGAGTCATTCATCTATTCAGGCAGTCCCAGGATGCTGGGAGTTGTAGTTCAGGGACAATTGGAAGCCAGGGAATTTTATCTTTGGCCCAAATAATTGGATATTAGGCCAGATCCTTATTTTTTTTTTTAATGACCTAGTAATCCTTTGCATTGGGGTCATGGCGATTGAATGGAGCTGAGCATTTACTGGCTGGATACCCTTCCTGACATCTGTGCGGAGCTCACAGCAGATATCTGCCCCTACCTAGGATCAAACTCACAGCCTCCTGATTGTGAGGCAAAAGCTCTACCTCTAGGCCACCCCATTGCTCTAGGCTTGACCCTTAATATCAATGCTGAAATCTTCTTTCCAGAAACTCATCTGTGGTACAGGTAGTCCTTGACAAATTATCACAATTAGGAGCAGAATTTCTATCGTGAAGCAAAATGGTTGTTAAGCAAGTTATGCCTGCTTTTGCCACCTTTATTGCTGAGGTTGTTAAGTGAATCACTGCCACTGTTACATAAATAACATGGTCGTTAAGCGAATCCAGCTTCCCCCACTGACTTTGCTTGTTGGAAGCCCGCTGGGATGGTCACAAATGGCGACCACATGACCGCGGGAAACGTCAACCATCCTAAATACATGCCAGTTCCCAGTTTTGATCATGTGACTATGGAGATGTTGCAAAAGCTGAAAATGTAAATACTGGCCATAATTCCTTTTTTTCAACGGCACTCACTTCAAATGGTCACTAAATGAATGGCGGTGAGTTAAGGATACCTGGCTGTACTTACTGCACAACAAAAATCCCATTGATGTGGTGTTTTATACAAAGAAATATAAAAATATAAAAATCACCTTTTGTGTATCACCTAGTCCCTCAGTATCCAGAAGGACAAGGGTTTGATGGGGCTGTTCTGGATAGGGAACACACCACATCCAGATCCCTTTCGTTTTGGCTTGCACTGTGGAACCCAAAGAGAAACCTACAAATGGAAAAAAATATGCTCTATGTCAGTGGTTCTCAACCTTTTTAATGCCGCAACCCCAACCGGTCGTAAGTCGAGGACTAAACCGGTCATAAGTCGAGGACTAAACCGGTCGTAAGTCGAGGACTAAACCGGTCGTAAGTGAAGGACTACCCAACCGGTCGTAAGTCGAGGACTTTCCCTGCCCGGGAGCGCCGCGCATGCGTAGTTCCGCCCCCTGCACCGGCCGAGGCGTAGCTGGCAAGCGGCAGAGACGGAGCAGGCCGACCACCAGCTGGCCCAGCCCAAGGGAGGTAAGGCACCCACCGGAAAAGGGGGAAAAAAATGGCAGACAAAAAAAATGGCGGACAAAAAAAATGGTGGACAGCCTTGCTTGGCGACCCCCATGAAATGGTCGATCGTCCCCAAATGGGGTCCCGACCCACAGGTTGAGAACCACTGCTCTATGTTTAGATCCAAAATCGATTATCCTATAATGCGTGAGCTGCAGGTAATAGGAAATAGCTTTTCCACCACCAGTTTTTATGGTTGTTCCCCTGTCGTTACACCTTCAAACAGGAAGATACTCCAGGGTGCACTTTCCCAGATGGAAACGCTTAGCAAAACTCACTTAACCAATGTCTTATTTAGCAACCGAAATGTTGGGCTCAGTTGAGGTCATAAGTTGAGGACTGTCTGTAATGGTATGTGGGAAAGGCCTCGTGAGTCTAGGCCAGGGGTAGGCCACCTTGGCTCTTTTATGACTCATGGACTTCAACTCCCAGAATTCCTGAGCCAGCCATGCTGAGGGGAAAGGGAGAAGTTTCCATGCTGAGCCATGCTGGCTCAGGAATTCTGGGAGTTGAAGTCCACGAGTCATAAAAGAGTCAAGGTTGCCTACCCCTGGTCTAGGCAGAGACACTGGCTAGAAAATGATCAGATACGAAACAGCACATTTACAGTAGATCAGAGGTCCCCAACCGGCACTAGGGACCGGTTCTGTGGAGAAAGGCTTTTTTGCAGATGGGGGGGGCTGTGTGGTGTGCTGCCTGCATCCCGCGGATGGGGCTTTGCTTGTTTGTATGGACCAGTTGCTGGCATGCCACGGCCCGCTACCAGTCCATGGACCTGGGGTTGGGGACCCCTGCAGTAGATGGATACTGATATGGGCAAGAGCTCAGAAGAGACCCTCCCTAGTTTCTCCAGAGGTAAAGATGGGTGAAGAATTGCACTTTTAGGCTTGCAAAATTCTGTCAATGCAGTTTTACAATAAAGTAAAATAGCTCATTTGGTCAGGTTTCCTGCTAAACCAGGAAAACCAGCCCCACGAGGCCAATAATTATTAAAGGTTATGATAAAATTCTGCAAGTTAAGATCACATCAGTCCAAAGGGTTCCTTGTCACTTGATGAGGATCATTCATGGTGGGCATTTGGGAAAGTTAAGAGTCCTGGACTCCATACTGTCCATCAGAGCAGAAAACCCTGGACTTGGGGGGTGTGTGTTCATTTTTCCACCCAGGTTTTGCCCTTGTCCATATTTTCCTGGTTCACCTCAGCCCTTCTCACCTGAAGTTTTGCCAGCCAGCCTGTTCATCAGGTAGGACTTGCCTGTCCGGTACAGTCCTATGATGGACACCACCACCACCGGCTTCCGGATTTCCGAGAGCAACTGAAGGGCCTCTGGTGAGACACGGAGGCCATCTGGCCTGTTCTCAACCAGGCACACCGGAGCTTCCATCCTGGCTTTGGGGGAGATGCAGCTGCAGAGAGGATATGGTAGCTGCAGCACTTTCTTCACAGTGAGCTCCCAAAGGAGGAGCATCAAAGACCCTTCCCCAAGTTCGTGACTTCCAAGTGTCATCAAGCCCATCCCAGGCCAGTGAGTGGATGGGCTTTGTAATCCCCAACAGGTCCCTTCTCAAGCCATCTTCCCCCAGACCTCCAGAAGCCACTCAGCTGAAGGGCAGCGGGTCTCCAGAGCCAAGCCAGACCCCCGGTGGCAGACCCGGACTGAAGGCAGTGAGGGGCCAAACGGGACCACCTACCCAGCGGCTTCCCCAGAAGCATTTGTGTGCAGAAGCCCCCCAATCTCACGCCCTTCTGGTCCCCAATGGACCCTCCCACCAGACCTTCATTCCCCCCAACCTAGTTTCGGGGGGGGCGTCTCTGCTTCTTGGATCCCCCCCCCAACTGCTCGGCCAGAGCCAGCAAGGGGGACCCACCCAGCCCCGCCGGAGGACCCCAAGTCTAGAAAGCTCCTGCCGCTACTGCGATGCACCGGACCCCGGAGGGGAAGCTGGGGGAAAGCGGCCCCCCCCACTTACCGTCTTTGCAAAGGAAATCACTGGATCGCCCACCGGCTCTCTTTGCAGCCTGCAACGATCTCTCTCCCCTCCTGCGCTCGCCTCGGGGATTTTATAGAGCTGCAGCAGCAGCAACAAGCGAAAGGGAAAGTAAAGCGGGGCGGGCTCTTCTGATCTTTTGCACTGATCCTTGGGGTGGTGTGTGCAAAGTCCACAGACAGACACACACACACACACACACACACACACGAACCGCTGCATGTTGGTGGCCCCACTAATCTGGAGGCTTCTCAGCTCAGCTGAAAGGAACCAGGTTCATTCAGAGTATGGACAGAAAACATAAATCTCTGGGCAGCTTTGTAGCCAGCGAGATTCTCAGACCACGTTCTGTTTCTGATCTGTATTCTAGCTAGCAAAAGATCTTCTGGGCATAACAAGCCCAAGCAAGCTGTCTTGCTTGGATCTGTTGCAAATATCT